CCCACTACAAGGTCCCTACATGCAAAGATCTGTTGTTACTCAACTACCTGTATCCAAGGTCAATTCTAGCCTATTGCACTCAAGGTCATTTCCTACTTGCTCCTGTTCCTTGTTATAAAAAATATAAAACCTCTATTCAAATTACTCTGCTTGCTGCACCTGGCAGAAGGGCAGCATGGCAGACACTCCCTGTCAATAAACATTTGCTTGAACTCAGAGATGTGTTTCTTGTGCATATTTGTACCAACTACCCTAACATTTACCTCTTCTTAAATGTCTTTGGCATGGAAATATTTTCATGTTTCACATAAAACATTTTAGAATACACTTGCTATAGATAGATTCCTTTGGCCTTCATTTTAGAGACATAAGTGGATCAAGTATTCTCATCAACCTGAAGAGAATATCACTTCAATGTACCCCTTTTCTTCAATTTCCGATTGATTATAAATTGATAGATGAGGTGCCAAGAATAAGTTGCACTGAATGGTAGATATGAATAGTAGAGTAACGAGGGAGAAAAAAAAATTCCTCTGTAAATTTCTAATAAGGAAAAGATTGGCCTTTCCTTTACATTTTGTGTCTTTTGTAAGTGAGAATAATATGCCAACCTCTCCCTCTGGTCTCCCTTTTCTTTTACCATCAACATAGTATATTAGATAACAGGAAATGTATTGTTTTCTCATTCTTCACAGAAAATTATCACAAATTGAATAGCTTAAATAATACAGATTTATTTTCTCAATTTCATGAGGTTATCTTTTGTGAGGTAGGAGTGTGGGTGTAGGTATGTGGGTTTTCTGTCTGGAGACACACATCCCTTTTCACATTCCCTAAGGCTTCACTTTTTTCACTTTAGATGAAATTAGTATATCACAGTTGGTTTATAGCCTTTTCTTACATGAGCAAAATGTAGCTCTCTCTCACAATAAGATGTCTCAGCATATGCTAAATCTTTGTAAATGTGTATATTTCCTGATTTCATCATATTGTTTGGATTCAGAAATCTCAAAAAATAGCTAAATATTGAAATATTTTGTGTATACTTTACATCCCTAAGTGTTAACTACCCACTAACAGGATGAATGACACTCTTCTAGATATTATATTTTGCCATATGAAAGAGAGAAAATATTTTTATCATTTGACATTTGTGCAGATTGCATTGTCTTCCTGTATAATACAAATGTATCCTGGACTCTTACATTATTAACAGTAAATTGGCTGCCACAGTATTATCACTACTATTGTTAATTCTTGATTCTGTGGTGTTGGGCCTTATTCTAATTGCTATATATGGATTGTCTTATTAAGACATACAACAATGATGTTATAACCATATTGTGAAGAAGTACTCTTTTCCACATTTTATAGATGAGAAAGCTGAGACTTATATATGTTAAATAATGTATTTAGATAATGTAATAACATATATATGTTAAATAATGGCAAATTTGTGATCCAAATACAATTCTAGTTGTAAGAAGCTCTTATCCATTATATATCCTACAAAATCTCACAATACTATTACAACAATAATAACAAAATAATTGTACATTCACTGTATGGATAAATGTTCATGTATTTTCATTTCCAGTACCAATTTTCTCCTCCTGTATAAATACTGCTTTGCATTTGGATGAATTGCTTTGGAAATCTATATTCTTTATCTTTAACTTTTGTATCTAGGAATATATCTTATGAAGGATATTTAAAGTTGTACAGACTTTCAAACATAAAATAAAGAAAGAAGAAATAAAAAAGGCTGTTAGTTACTATTAGAGATGCACTGAATTTGTCTTTATAGAGGCCATGCTCACTGAGAAAGAAATACATACCAATATGATTTTATTTTTATAACCTTTATTTTTAGATTCTATTACAATGTGTAAATCTCAAGTATCACTACAATGTAATTTATGACAAACTTATTCATTTTGAGCATTCACAGATCTATGAAATTTGTGAAGAACTATGTAAACAGCATTATTATATTCATGGCTATTCACTTATTTTCATGAAGCAATCCTTGATTGTTTTCCTCAAGAATACAATAACATAACAAACCATACATATTTAAAAAAAATTGGTGGCCTCTATTCATAGGTCCTAAACCCAGTTCAATTACATGGCCATCCTACTTTAGCTGACCCTCTTTTTATTATTTCTATTAACATTTCTCTGAAATTGCCATTAAAGAGTGTTTTATTTACATATACATTTTATTTTTAGTCTTTTTAATAAAGCTATGAAAATTCTATAAAATAGAGCTAAACATCTTAGGTTGAGATTTTCAATAATTAAGTATTTAGAAACAGCTCACATGTCACTTATATCTTTGCAAATTAGGTAACAGACAAAAAGGTAAAATGAGATTCTTCTATTTACACCAAAATTCTATGTATGGATTTGTGTTCAAATCTGTTTGCTTCTATTTTGTATAATTTTAAATTTTCATTGTAATTGCCATTCTACATCATTAAGTTCAATGAATATACAATTTATGTAGTAATATGACAATGCCTTCAGAAGGGTAGTATTTTATAATTAGTACAAATAATAATCTACATAAAAGAGAAGTCTATTTTTACTTAAAGCTTTACTTAATGAGCTCTTGGTGCCAAATATTTATTTTAATTGATAAAATGTCACAAGTAGTCACTTCTGGGACAAGAATATCTGTATAAAATCTAACCATGTTATATTTTTTAAAAAATTATAGCTCATAATGAAATAGAAAAAAGAACAATTTTATAATTATTTTTTGAAATGCTAAGAAAAAATTGTGGTGAAGATCTAGTAGCCAATATTTTTTATTTTACATAAAAATCAGGCAATGTAAAAATATTTAATGATAAGTCACAGGTAAACCTGCCCACCAAACATCTTTTTATACTGAATCATATAAAAATTCAAAATACTATAATATTGATATGGGTGTAAAATAATGATGAACCGAATCCATGTTCAAGGTGATATTAATTTTTTAATTGAATGCATTTAAAAATATTATAAATGTCATATTTTTTATTCCCTAATTAAATTGTCAAGACATATTTTCAATGGGCTTAGCAGGTATGTAATGCAATGCTTTATATAGTCTAGTGAAACACTGCATGGCACCTTTCATACTAAATTAGAAGTGATTCAAATAACCTAAGATGAATGAATAAACATAGTGTAGAATCTTTGGGCCCTAGATTTAGTTTCATAGGTACCTTGGGACAAATGTCTCAAAGTGATAATCTCTTGTATTGAGTATGGGTATTATAAAATACATCACAATTTAAAAACATTCTAGACATAAAGTTCCATGGAAATGTCAGTTTTTAATTTGATTCTCTTGTGGCTGTCTTTCTTAATCTCTCCTCTCCGTCTCTCAATCTCTATCCATGTCTCTTCATCACTATAGGTATGATTAAATATTCCTTTATTTAAAAAAAACTGGATGGAACAACAAAAATGTGTTTTAATGACTTACATAAATATAATTTGTTATTTTTAAAATTTTAAAAGTATATTTATGAAGTATGTTTGATATAGGTGCTTCAAAGTCTTCCGGAAAAAGTTCTTTAAATAAAACTACTTTTTATGTACCTCAATCTTTGCCTAATCATGGATAACTTGATACAAGAAAGATTTCATATTTCTGGAATAAAAATCTTGAGAAAATGCATCATGGCCATTCATTGTTTTTTTTTTTATTATTATTATTTAACAAGGGCATTTTTCTAAAAAACTAGATTTCTCATTGTTGGTAGGATGAACACAGCTAGAGTGAGCAAAATAAACATATCATAAGCCCAGATTACTTTATTGTTTAATGCAAAATATACTTCATATCAAAGAATATTGAGGAGAAAGTGACATCCTCGTGATATTTTGTAGATGAAAATAAAGAGATCCAAACTGATTACTTCTCAAATGTAAGAAAGCAAGTTAGAGGCAAGAAAGCAAGTTGACAAGAATCACTATTTGAATGTAACTTCATTCAAAGTAAACACCTGGCAAGCAGGTGTTAAAAGCCTGCCCTATATTATAACTTGAAAACTTGCCAAACACATTTTGGATAGTGTATAAGTGATGTAGGAAATACTGTGCCCAAGTCATTATCTGCTCAGACCCATACTCTGAGATCAAATAGATAATTGCATATTGGGAATCATTTTATTAAAATGAAACATCAAGTTTGCCTACAGTTAAATGATGATTAAACAAAAATGCATAAGAGAGGATCAATGTGACAAAAGAGATTGAGTTGGGCCATTATTTGTATTGTTGAACAGCACAGACCAGTGCTAGATTGTATAAATAATAGTAAATAGATATTTGTCAATTACATTTCCTCTTAATTACCTTCATTTTTTTTTTTTGAGAAATGTGATACATAGAATAAATTTTCAAGTTCTGTTGTTACTGTATGAACAAAGTGGGAGATAAAAAAAAAAAAAAAAAAAGACAGGCTGACCATGTGTGGTGGTGTGCTATTACTACAGTCCTAGCTACTCTAGGAACTGAGGGGGTCACTTGGTCCCAGGAATTCAAGGGCAGCCTGGGCAACATAGTGAGATCCCATCCACAACACAACACAACACAACAAAAGACAAGCTATGAAACTCAATACTAAGTCTCCGAGTCAATACCAAGTCTCTGAGTCAAGATAAATGTAACTTCAGGTAAATACAAAATATTTGTAGAAATGAAGAGCCTATGTTTGTATTCAATCCCAAGGCATTTTATAGGCACATATAAATTGGTTCTGAAGCAATGCAGAATGAACTCAAGCACCTCAAAATGTAGAATGATCTCTGTACATGGAAAAATAATTTTCTAGCTCTCTAGTAAGAAGATGTTTTAACTAAACATTCAATCCAGATGTCCATTACTTCTATTAGGAACTTCATTCTAAAACCAAGGCAAAATACTTTTATTGATTTCTAAGTGATAGATATTTTCCTATTTGTGTTTGTATTTGTGTGCATGTGTTTGAGGGGAGGTTGTAAGTACGAGCTAGTGAGAAGTAGGCAGATATGAAAATTTTCTACACGGTCTTCTGATTTGTTAAAAATATCAAATCACCTTTGTTTGCTGTAATGATGAATCCCTCCAGAGTTACTCATACAATTCTTGCAGAATCATTTATCAATGCAAAAATAGCCATCTGCTAAGGCTGCCCACCTGTCTTAGAGAATCAGAGCTTGTTACTGGACTGTCTTCTAGAATGTTTCAATAAAAAGAGTTTGGCATACACCTCCTTAAAAGAGTCTTATTGACACAAATAAATCACCTTTGCAGGCTGTAAACAATACGTCAAAATGAAGCTCTATTTTTTACTTTCTTTGCCATCTTTTCCTTTGTCTTCCTTTTCTGTGTTGTCTGTTTCATATTTCTCTTTATCCGGCTTTGTTACACTATCATATGAAGGTGGGGAGACAGTGGATGGGGTTGCATCTGTTTTTTCTGGAGTGGAGTTCTCATTAACATTATCAAAAACTATATCTTCTTTATTGGGCAAATCATCATCTTTGTCTCCATCTTTTATATATATGCTTGATATATTTTTGACATTTTGCCGCAAGCGGTAACGTCTGTAAGCGCGCTGAATGATAGCAGCAGATACATCCTCTTGTTTTCGTTTTAGTGTAGTTGTGATGGGTTCATAGGATACTTTAGAAGGATTTGCAGACATGAACCTTTCTTCCATCTGTGAACGAAGAGAATCCATCTCTCCACTTTCACCCAAAACACGCTTTGTAAAAGCAAATAAAATGTCAAGACAGTGAATCCGGTCACCACTGACCATTGGCAGGTCCATAGCAATGAGCTGGACTTTGTTTGGTTTTGCTATAAGAAGAGGAGGATCCAGGGCAGCTGCAAAATCAGAGAGTTTGCTATATTCTATGAACTGGGTTGCATCGGGATCAAACTTCTCCCAAACCTCATAGAACATCTCAAAGTCATCCTCACTCAGGGGCTCTGCACTTTCTTCAGTAGCAACACTGAAGTTCTCCAGGATGACAGCGATGTACATGTTCACCACGACCAGAAAGGATATGATGATGTAACTGACAAAATAGAAAATCCCAACAGAAGGGTTCCCACAGTCTCCTTCAACTGAACTTCCTGGATGAACTTTTTTTGGGTCACAGTCAGGTGGGCCATTATTGAGAATAGGTGCCAGCAATCCATCCCAGCCAGCAGAGGTGGTGATTTGGAACAGGCAGATCATGCTGTTGCCAAAGGTCTCAAAATTGAACATGTCATTAATTCCAGCTTCTTTCTTAACATAGGCAAAGTTGGACATTCCAAAGATGGCGTAGATGAACATGACCAGGAAGAGCAAGAGGCCGATGTTAAACAAGGCAGGAAGGGACATCATCAAAGCAAAGAGCAGTGTGCGAATCCCCTTAGCCCCTTTGATCAGACGTAGGATTCGGCCAATCCTGGCAAGACGGATCACTCGGAACAGGGTTGGGGACACAAAATATTTTTCTATCAGCTTAGCAAGAAACATACCTATTAGGGAGGAAAAAATGAAAAGAATATCTTTAAATATTCATACTAAACAGTATCATAATTCTAAATAGTTTTATGTATTATCTTTATCTCTTACGAATTCAGGACTGTTAAGTTTATATTGAACCAATCTCTCAAAAGAAGAGCAAAAGGGAAATGAGTAGAATTACTCTTATTTCACATTTTTTCTACTTTACTAAGTTCACAGACCCTTTTTTTTTCCTTCACAATATTTTTAAATTATAAGAAAATAACTGCTCATATAGAAAGATTCCAGAAATACACCAAAGTTTTAAAAGAAAATATAAATCACTTTAAATATTTCCAGTTATAACTAATTAATATTTAATATTTTGTTGAGCAATCCTCCACTTTTGGATTCAAACACATGAACGTACAAATAGACATACAAATATAATGATGTCCTTTGATTTTGTAGTTTCTCTTTGTGACATGTGGTGTAAATGTTGCTATACATATGACAATTTTTATAGTTGTAATGTTCTGTCAAAATAATTGCATATTGAAGAATAGCATTTATATTACTTTCAATTTTCTGACTGAAAAATTACCTAAATAGGCATTTCCCCCCTAGTTATATAAGTGTTTTAATAACACATAAATAGAAGCTGAGTTAACTGTATATTTAAAATTTTGTTTTGAGATTGACAAACCTATCTCTAGAAAGTCTATAATACGTCTAATAGCAGTATATGAAAATGCTCATATTCCATGTTCACCAATACTGGGCAGTGCACTTTACCACTGAGCTACACCCCAGGCCTGTTTGTGTTTTTTTTTTGTTTGTTTGTTTTTTTGTTTTGTTTTTCTATTTTAAGACAGGGTCATGCTAATTTGCTGAGGCTGGCTTTGAACTCGCAATCCTCCTGCCTCAGCCTCCCAAGTTGCTGGGATTACAGGCCTGTGCCACTGTGTTTAGCTGCACTGCACTTCTTTACAATTTTTATCAGAACATCTTTTTTTCTTTCTTTATTTTTTCCTATTATTATTACTATGTTATTTTTTATTGTTCTGTTTAGTTATACATGACAGTAGAATGTATTTTGACAAATTATACATAAGAGAATATAACTTATTCTATTGGGATCCCACTCCTGTGGTTGTACATGATGAAGAGTTATTTTGGTCGTGTATTCAAATACAAGGCTGGGAAAGTTATGTCCAATTAATTCTACAGTCTTTCCTTTTCGCCTCCCTCCTTTTCCATGGTTTCCCTTTTGTCCAATCCAATAGATTTCTATTATTTCTCTTCCCAAACTCCCTTGTTTTGGGTTAGCATTCATAAATCAGAGAACATTCTGCCTTTTTTGTTGCTGTTGTTATTTTTTTTTTTACAAGAACATCTATATGCTACTTATAGTCTATTAAAATGACTTATTTATTTATTTTTTTTAGAAAATAAGCTATCATTTTTCTTATTGATTGGATATTTGTATCTTTGTTGGTTATTTTAAAATTTTGCCTGAGGAAGGTCCTTGCCTATTTGTCTATTAGAATGTTTACTATATTCTTATTGATCTACAAAAGTGATTTTTCTTTTGGAAGTTTGATTAATTTTGGACTGGAGTGTGGGACTTGAGTGTTGCATAAAATTCCCCATTTCTTATTTGTCTTTCAATCAATTTTATGTATGGTAAGTCTACTTGCATTGTATATTTTGATTATTATGGTCATATCCATTATTATATTTTCATTATAGACGGGTTTGTGTCATAAATATAAAAAACTATTAAGAGTTCATGGTTAAATATCTATTCCCAGGACTGGGGATGTAATTCAATGGGAGAGCTCTTGCCTAGTATGCTGAAGGACCTGGATTCAACCCCCAGTACCACACTTACACACAAAAAATCTTTTTCCACATATTTTCTACTTGACTCCATTTTTTTTTTTAATGTCCTTTGATTCATTGTCATGCCTCTGCTTCCCAATTGGTGTTTTATTGTTACCAACAGGATTTCCAAAACTATACATTACACAATTTAACTATCAGAAGGAAAAACACTATGAAAGAACCTATGATGAGCTTGGGAGGGAGATTCAGGGTTCTATCTCTTAATTCACTTATCCCTCTCTCTCTCTTTTTTCTTTTGTTGGTGCATTATAGTTGTACATAATAGTTGGATCCATTTTTGACGTAATTATACATGCATGGAATTTAATTTACTTCATTCCAGTTCCCAGTACCCTTACCCACTGCTTCCCTCCCCTCCTCTTTCACCCAGTTCCCCGTCTTCTACTCTACTGGCCTACCTTCTACTCATTTATATATTTTAATTGTTTTTTTATAAGTATACATAAAGGTCAAATTCACTGTGGTATACTTTACATGCACATAGCAAATTCATTCTGCATTTCCTCTCCTTTTTGTCCTTCCTTCTTTTCGTCCTTTTGTCCTTCCTCTCTCAATCTCCTTCTATTCTGTTGATCTTCCTTCTGTCTTTATGATATCCAACCCCTCTCTTTTTTACTCCCTTATTTTGCTCTAGCTACTGCATATGAGAGAAGACATATGACCCTTGATTTTCTGTTGAATCCATTTTTAAAAATACTAACCTCCGATTCACATAATCATTGTACTTAGTAAATAAGTAGGTCTCTATGCTTTCAAGTTTATTTTGGATTATCTCTTTGAATCCATTGAACTTTTATTTTGAAACCCTATTATACTTATAATGATATTACATAGTCATAATATCAAGCAATACGAAGCCACTTCTCATTACTCTAATTTTTTTTCCAGATTAATTTTAGAGTGATTTGGAGAGTGATAAAGATCATTGGCCCCTTGTTTTAACATGCGTACCTGTTTGTTTTCTTATCTGATGGCATTAGCCAACACTGCTAAACACGGAGGTGATCGGGGGATGCTTTTTTGTCTTCTTGACTTGTTGGGAATTATTTCATTATTATTTTTCCTTAGTGTTAGTATAAAATTCCTACCTAAATTTTAATTTGTTTTCTTATATCTTAATTTTAGTGTCACTTGTGGTGACAATATTTGTTAATAATTGATTTTAAATGCCTCTTCTGAATTTTGTAGGAGTCAGTTTTGTGGTTCTAAGACATGAAACCTTTAACCTTTCTGAGTTTGTTTGATCATCTGTAAGTTTCATTTGTATCAAATGATCTGCATAATCCCTCCCATTTAGTTTAGAATACTAAAAATAAATATAATTTTAAAATATTAGGTGTGTAAAGATAATGAGAAAAAAGAGAAAGAAAGAAAAAAGTCATGATAATAAAAAGTGAAGAAGTATAAAATTGTGTATTGTGATTCATAGATATTACTGTGATTGGTTGAGAAATGACTGTATTTTATAGACTGGCCAAGTATTATGCCCTAAGAAATGATGCTGACATTTTTTGGGACTTTAAATTCAGGGAGAACTTTCACAAAGAGTCATGGATATTCTGGCCATTCATATCACTAATCAAAATATAGGTCTTATATTCCAAAACTGGCAGCAATTTCAAATTCTGCACTGGTTTCCAAGACGTATCTACAAATAAGCATGTTAGTTAGCTTTGTTAAGGGTAAACCTGGAAACTAAATATCATTGGGTATTATGTCTTCCCAACAGGTGAAACTTTGGACTTTCAGGCCTGTAGGTGTGAACCCAGGGTTCTGAAACAGGGATTTGGTTTTGTTTCTAAGGTTCCTTCATTCTTTCATTGTACTAATTTACATCAAAGTAAATTTATATTCAAGAATTCAGACACTGCTCTGGGCACATATGGAATTTAGTTTATTAAAAACTAAAACTTAAGGATGAATAAATGGCCTTACCTACAATGGAGAGGATTACAACCACAAAATCAAAAATGTTCCATCCTACAGTGAAGTAGTAATGTCTGAGGGAGATCAGCTTGAGCACACATTCTCCAGTGAATAGGATAATAAAAACCACATTTATCCAATATAAAACATAAGTCATGTAGTCACTTTGTCCCTCTTTCTCTACCATCATGGTTACCATGTTGAGGCAGATCAGAACCATGATAGTAATATCAAAAACTTGGTTTGTTACGAGGTCAAATATACATCCTTGGAATTTGTTCTATAAGAAACAAGAATAACATGGAAATTAGAGAAGTGTTCAGATGTCATCTATAAAGTTAAATATTCATTAACAACTAAATATAATTTTAAAATTCACATATATGCATATATGTTAATATAAAGCATTCTTTTACCCCTGGTCTAGGAATTGGCTTTTGTGGTTTTTTGGACCCCAGCTTTTTCATTGCATTATAGTATTTCTTCTGTTCTTCTGTCATAAAGATGTCTTGACCTCCAAGGTAAAGAAATAAAACACATCTAGTTAAAACCAGAATCACTGAATGACTTCTTTTTCTGGTCCTAAAACAGGTTAAAAAATAAATTAATATAGAAACAAAATGCATTTTATTATGTCCATTGTAGCTATAAACAAAATCTTTCTTAAAGGATTACCTAAGTATAGTGACATGAATCTCCATACATAATGAAATGTGCATACATAAAATATATACATTACATATAATAATGATTGGCTTGATTATCTTTTTGTTTACTAACTTGTGTTATTTCAGACTATGTGCTGATATTTTTATCTACTTCTCTTATCGGCATTTTATTGCTAAATAACAAATATGTTAGTGAGGGTTATAAGAACTAATAGTGGTAAATATCTTCTTTGATGATCTGGTTAATGTTTTTTACTCTTATAAGATGTATGAGCCCAAAATTATTATCAGCTCTCTATATATTTGTATTTGTTTTTGTTTGACACCACTCTTTTAAGAGAGAAAAACGATTACATAATAAATAGTTAATTTATGTTTCTTTATCTGTGTCTATATCCACATCTATATCTATGTCTGTATTTCAAGAAACTCCTTATGAAATCCCAAAAAATGAATTGCCATATACATGCTTTATTGGTTAATACCATTATGCACAATAAAATTCTTGGTATTAAGGAAAATCACAATAATGAACTGGTAAGAACTGAAAGACTTTCTGATAGATTATAAGAAAGAAAATACAATCATTATGACTTTATAGTAAAAAGTTAACATTTAAATGAGTTTTTTTTTCCATACTGGAAAAGATGAAATCTCATGTAGGGGAGGTAAAAGCTTTGGTTATTACTTTAGACTTTTGTTAATTTCTTGAGGTTTTCTGTGATTTTTACAGATATGTACATATTCCCCACTGTTCTATAGTATCACCTATTAAAGTCACATCAAAAATTATAATAATGCATTCTAATTTAGAATATTCTAATAGAATAATCCAGTTTTGAGATTTTGTAGTTCTCAAATTCTTCTTTAATTGGTAGGGTCCTAGGTTGAAGATGACCCAGTTATGGCCTCCCTTCAGTTCTCCTGAGTTAAGGAATGTTTAGCTCCCTGCTACACCACATTACTTATTCATCAAACACCTATGATAACCAGATTTAGAGAGTTCTTAAAGTGCTTTAATTTACTTTCCTCTAGTGGATATGCAGTGTTCATGTAATTTTAGCATTCATCTTATCTACCAATATTAGTCATGAGAGAGAGCCTTGTGTCAAAGTCAAGAGATGCCCCAGTGTTCCAAATTGTTTATTAGTGGGGCTGAATATCATGGCATGTTGAAAGCTTATTAGGGGAGAGTTGGAACATATCAAGTAAGAACTCTGAATTAGAAGTGAAAATCACAGTAGCAGATTTTGTGTCTTCTTCTAATCATAGCCTGGTTGTCAATACGATGAAGGGTGGGAGGAAACTAAGAGGAAATTTTGAAATGTTACAGTAGAGAACCCAGTCTTGCTGTTTTGTTTCTTTTTTATTGTCAATTATATAGGTCTTGTGCAAAATGTATCCTTCATGCAAAAATCTAGTTGGCAGAGAGTCTCTAAGTCAGGCTGGTCTACTGGTATGTGATACCCTCTAAGGTATTACTTGGTAATAAAAACTGCAGTTTTGATGTTTTACCATTTTTATTCAAAGCTTCTCTCTTATTCCTAGGCAAGTTTTAAATCTCTTTACATACAAATCACCTCCTCTTAATAGAATAGCTACATCATTCATTTATTAAGAGGATCAATTGTGAGAGTATATGCTGAACATTTAGCATAATACTGGTACTTGGCAAGCAAAGTTTGCCATCCCTAATGCCAAAATCCAACATCTGAAATGTTCTAAAATCTGGAACTTTTCAAATACTGTCAAAATACCCTAAGTGGAAGATGCTGCACCTGACATCATGTGATGGGTAGCAAAAAAAATAAAAATGCAAATGCATTAAAAATGTTCTATAAAATCACCTTCAGCCTAAGTGTATAAGGTATATGAAATGTGTACAAATTCTACATTCAGTCTTCTGTCCCATTTTCAGTATCTCTCATTTCTCTCTCTCTCTCTCTCTCTCTCTCTCTCTCTCTCTCTCTCTCTCACACACACACACACACACACACACACACATTTGCAGATATTCCAAGATCTGAAAAACTTCTGAAATCCAAAACATTTCTGGTCTTAAGCATTTTAGAGAAAGGATACTCAACATGCTGTAGAGTAGTTGCTATTATCCTATACAATAAGATTATAATTACTGAAGGGGGTTGTTGTTCCTTAGATTTACTCAAGTGCTCAGGTTTATACTAGGCATGTCTGTAAATATATCACATAATTTTCCCAATTAATAACTTCCCATAGTTTTTCAGTTTATAATTTGAACCCATTAATAATTTATATTCTAATTTTCCATAAGACACTTATGATTAACTATTAAAATCCAATGGTCACATGAATTTATTAAAGATGAAGAGAGTATACTAACATGGATGACAGCTGAAAAATCTAGTAAATCAGGATTGGTTAGCAGAAAGAGATGTGGGTAGATCCAGAAGGTGAGATCAAAGTACTAAGGCTAAAAACATTAAGAGGCAACATTGCATTGTGGGGGGAAAAACATGGTCTTTGAAGTTCAACAGAGTTCTTCATGTGCTTGTGAATAGTCCATCATGTGCAATAATGACATTTCAATGCATATACATCTATCCTCTTAGGTACAAAGTCAGTATCTGAAATCATGTCCTCTCTAGTTCTACCATTCATCCTCCAAAGATCTCTTCCTGGAGGTGGTGCCACAGGCAGAGTAAACAGTTAATTGACAAGAAACAATACTCAGACTCTATGCTCTTGCAAATCATCAGCAAACTATGGAATCCACCACCTTAAATATCTTGACTGAATACACTTCCTATTCTTCATTGCCACAAAGTGCTATTTTGGATACTATAGGTATGGCCCACATGGTTGGTAAAATAGGGTCTGAACTAACCTCTGTCTCTCATGAACTATTCTGTGAATCACTGCTAGATTAATCTGGTGGTGGCGGGGGTGGAGGCGGTGCGCTGGGAATTGAACCCAGAGGCACTTTACCACTGAACTACATCCAGCCATTTTTCTATTTTATTTTAAGACAGGGTCTCGTTAAATTGCTTAGGGTCTCACTAAGTTGCTAAGACTGGCCTCAAACTTGAGATCCTCATGCCTCACTCTTCCACTGGGATTACAGACATGTGCCACTATGCCCAGCTAGATACATTTTTATTGAAGTTAAGATTCATGGTCTTTGGAATAAGGAGCTGTGGGGTTAGATTTATGATGAAACTACTTTATGGCTGATTATATATAAGTAACATAACGTCTCTTAGAGTTTAACTAGGGATACTAACGTCTTATAGATTACACGTGAGATAGTTTATGCAGGATAAAACTATAAGTCCTAATTATCAATGTGTTGTTCAAAAGTTACTTGTTGTAATGATATATCAGCTCCTGCTGAAAATTATCTCAACTGACATCTCATATCTGCTTTTAAAAAGGCCCAAACCTCACTTTTTGTTATTTCTTTCACAATTCTAATCTCCATACAGACTGGATAGGTTGATATTATTCCCAAATTGCTGCCTCCTTAACCGTCACTGGGCATAAGCTTCCACAGTTCTGTTCCCTTCATATGGATCATCATCTTTTTACTTCCCAGTTGCTGCCTATCTTCTAATTTATGTTCTAGGGTCTGCTCAAGTGTCACATTGAATAGACCTTTTTATGGCTGTATCCACTTTTTGGCTGACTGCTCACGTACATTTTCATTGTTGTTAGTTTTTACTCACTATGATCTCATATCATAATATTTTGGAATATAGTATAGTAGAGGGCCTGAATGAATAGACCAAATGTCCAAGATACAGGGGATGTACGAATGTTTCTATTTAAACTCCATTGCTTACTATATGTGTAATTTTTTTTTTTTTAATGTGCTGGGGATTAGACCCAGGGCATTGTGCGTACTGGGAAAATGCTGTGATTCTGAGCTACACCTTTAGCTCTAGATGTATGATTTAAAGTAAATTATTTCACCTTTCTATGCCTTTCCTCATTTCTAAGATATCATCTATAATAATATTACCATTAAACTTGACATTATGCATTGGATCTTGTGCCCCTTCCCGCAAATATGTTGAAGTCCTAACCCCTAGTACCTCAGAAAGTTGACCTCATTTAGAAATTGCATGGTTGCAGTATAATTAAATTAAGGTAAAGTCATGGGGAAGTGGAGGGGTGCTTAATCCAATACTCAGTAGTTGCTCTAGTAGGGACAATTGGTATTGTCCCTAATAGATGAGGAGGAAGACACAGAGATTAGCATGTAGATACAGACAGAGAGATTAGTGTTTTGCTTCCAGGAACCAAGGAATGCCTGGGCTACCAGAAGTTGAGAGATGGAGAAAGGACCTTCCCTCAGAGGCTTTGGAAGGAGCATGACCCTGCCAACACTGATTCTGGTCTTGTAGCCTCCAGCATGGTGAGAGAACAGGATGCTGTTATTCTAAGCCATCCAATTTGTGGTATTTTGTTATGGCAGCCCTAACGAAATAAGGCAGTCACAGTCAGTGTGAGAACTGATGAAATAAAAATACTCAGGAAAGTACCTGGCTTATAGAACTCAACAAATCTTAGTTTTTATTTCTTATGCTCTAATATAAACTCCTCAAGTTCAAAAGTCACATTTATGTTCTTCCTATTACAGGACCAGCCTAATACATACCACACAGAATAGTGGCTCAGAAGAAAGTCAAATAACTATGAAATGTTGTTTGAATAAAGAATTAGTGACTGTTTCTTAATTTTCTAATCCTCTATAGAGAACACTGGAAAAAAATGGAATAGTTGATATATTGCTTAAGAAATTTATGATTTAGGAAATTATTTTCTGCACAAAAATGAGTAAAATTGAACACACCTATAATTGTATCTATTGTCAATTATTCAAAAAAATACATGAAGCACTAACAAAATTAATTACTAATTGATACCAAAGTAACTTTCACATTATATTTTTGGGAAAATAATCATTCATTTCTTTTCAGGGAAAGGATGAAAAACTTGAAATACTTATCTTCTTTTTCTGTTGGTTGAAATTATCTATGATGACACCAATGAACAAGTTCAAAGTGAAGAATGATCCAAAGATGATAAAGATGACAAAATACATATACATGTAGAGATTGTATTCATATTTCGGCTGCTTGTTTACCTATAAAGTAAATTTAAAAAGTAAATTAAAAAGTTAGCAGTCACTGTTTTCATTTCTTTTTCATGTGGTTTGACAAGGCAATCCTCAGTGCTAGCCTAGGCAAACTTGGTATTTCAGAAACCACAGCATTATTGAGGCTTAACCTGGTCATTTTTTTTTGATACTGGATATTAAACCAAGGGATGCTTTACCATTGAGCTATATCTGAGATACATATCCAGCCCTTTTATTTGTTTATTTATTTTTATTTTGAGATAAGGTCTCACTAAGTTGCTTAGGGCTTTGCTAAGTTAGCCAAGGCTAGCCTCTCCTGCCTTGGCCTCCCAAGTGGCTAGAATTACAGGTGTGTGCCACCATGCCCAGCTTAACCTGGCATTCTTAAAAATGTAATCAGTATTGAAAAAAAATTAACAGATGCTTATTATGTACATAGATGTAATCTGCAAATGATTATAAAGAACCTACCCATATATAGTACTTATTCTCAGATTGGTAGAAAAGTTAGTAACTAAATGATCTATAGTATGCTTTTTATTTCCAGAAAAACCTGTAAAGGGGATGACACCATACTTAGATAAATTTTGTTTTATTGTTTCTTCATTTGTTTACAAAAATATCTTCAGAAGAATCTGTGACAATATGAACTAGTTAGTAATCTTTAAATTTTCTTACCATGGAATTTATTTTGTAAAAAATCTACCAAAGTGTTTCAAAATGTAAAAACTATTTAAAATTATTATTTCATTTTTATATCAAGAAACTAATATTTATTAAGCATTTTTATTGCCACTAGTATGCTAAGAGCTCTATTTGCATTTTCTTGTTGAATCTGTAAAAGAACACTTTGAGGTAGGTACTGAATTATGTTATTTTTACAGGAGAGTAAACTAAGGCTCAGAAGGGTAAAGAATTATGTTCAATGACCATTGCAGAGCCTTAGAACCAGAATTCGAGTCAGGATCTGTCTCCAAATGCTGCACTCATAACCACTAGGTTACTATCAGGTGGAAGTTCTTTATTGTATTTGCACATACATAGGGCTCCATGCAGCTATAGTTTGAGGACCACTGAACTAAACTAAGGATATTTTTTAAATTGTAAAGTTTAGTGTTATGTTGATTAATACTTACATCAACAGAATCAACTGCTGCATACATGATGTCCATCCATCCCTTAAATGTGGCCTGTAAATAAAATATTAACAGAATCTGAATGTGAAGTTTATGCTCCCAAACTACCATAAATATAGTTTTGTCTATTTAATCTTACAACATATATTAAGTAATATTAAATTAGTAAGTTTTTCTGTATTTCCAAGCACCAACTTAATATAAAGATTCTGTTTTTAAAAGAGGACAGATTCCCAAATCACAATCTAAAGTTTAATTCTACTTCCAAATTGTTATAATTGCCTGTGAATTTGGGGTATGAACTTTCATTTTTTGATAAGTGAAAGAGAATTTTATGAGTACGTTTGGAAATATTTTTCTCCATTACTTAAGGATAGTCTATACCACTAGAAAGTCCCTCTCATTTCCCCATAGGAAAAAAACAAAACTGGAAGTACAAAAATTACTATTTTTGAAGAAATATTCAGATGGTGCAATAGCAGTCAACTCTCAGTTCATAATTCTCAAACACAAGAAACCTATGCTTCTTAACCAAGTTTATAGGGTTCTAAAACAGATCAACTCTATTTTAAAAGTTACACAGCATTTTATTTTTAATTTCTAGTTAATAAATTATTTAAATAATGTCTTATATCCTTCACCTAACAGTCAGTAAATTCTGAGTATTCATGCACGGGGGCACTTACAACTTGAAGCAGAGACAGATACCCAAGCCCAACGTTGTCAAAGTTCACTTTCAGGTTTTTCCATCGCACGTTTGTGCTCCCATTCATCAGGGCAAAACACTCAGAACGATTTTCAACTTGATTTTGAGGAAACCGTTTTCCATCTGTGGTGTTAACACACTCGTAGAACTTGCCAGCAAACAAGTTTACTCCCATGATGCTAAATATCAGCCAGAAGATTAGGCACACAAGAAGCACATTCATGATGGAAGGGATTGCTCCGATGAGTGCATTCACAACCACCTAGTGTTGAAGGAAAGAAAGAGTGGTTAGGACTGGTGAAACAAAAAAGGTTAAATAGGCAACATGGAAGCAGTATTAAAAACATTAGAAAACCCCCTTTATATAAGGTATCAAATCAAGCAGCTGACGAGTATATATTAAATGCCTTCTATTTCAATAGTGTTCCAAGCAAGACAAGACCAGTTGAGAAATGACCTGTGATTAGTGATTTTATAAATTACATGTTTAACACAATAAAACTATTAACAAAAACACAAGACAAAGTGACTAAGAGGATATTATAGCTTAAATAAATGAAAAAAAAATAATAAACCCAAAACCTGATATTGATAAGATGAAACCATAAAATCTGCACATTCTAGAAGAGAGAGAAACATATAAATATAAGTATTAAAAATGATATATACATTTAAAGTCTCATAATCCTAGAATTACCAGCATTAATTATTCCCACACACAGAAAAACTACTAGTACACCTTAGTGGAGATAAAACTGGGAGTCTTTCAGTGGTTTGAACTCTGTAGATTTATGTTTCTATGAAATGAAAGTAATCTTCTTGAATTCATTGATCTATCTCTAAAAACACATTTTACTAAGTCCTTGGGTAAGTACCGACAGTATTAGCTTCATTTAATAATGATACGTAGTTTGTCTTAAATAATTCCTCTCTTTTCTTCTGCCACTCAGCATTTCCTCTGCTACTGATCACCAGTGATTTCGACATTTTGATTTTTCTCCAGAACAACTTCTGTAGCATTTTTGAGTCTCTAGATTTTCTTATTTACCCCATCCTTCAAAACTGTCTGTCTTCTTACACTGCAGCCATAGTCCCCATTTGAGAACAAGTGTGTAGAAGATAATAATGTGTCACTACAATCACATTGTGGTCCTTCTTGTTTTCAATATATTAAGGAGGCTCTCAAGACATTTTCAAATGGGGACACATTGGGGCTTTCTGACTACCTATGAGGTTAACTAAAACAGGGGTTGGCAAACATATATTTCAACATTTTTAGGTATTAGGTTACATGAGCTCTATTGCACTCTGCCATTGCAACCACACATCAGATATAAACAAATGGGCATGACTATGTTCTAATACAACTTCCTTTGCAAAAACAGTCAATTAGCCACAATCATAAGGGCTATGGTTTGTTAAACCTGTGACCAGAACAGTAGCTATTTTTGAGTCCGTGGACCTATAGAGGCTTCATGGGAATGTGAAATGATACAAAAAGCATTTATGACTGTGCTTCTTTCTAGAAAGATGACATGTTTTCTTCAGTTGAGTTCAAAATGGCTAACTTTCCATCAAGCCTACCCTTTTATCTCCATTTCCAGCTACCCACACCACTATGCTTACTGCCTAAGCACACTGATCCTTGTAGTCATTGCCCCCAAAACACCTTGCACACTCAACTCTGTGCCTCTCAACTACGAATGCCCACCTGCCCGTGGCTTGGGGCTTATTCTTTCAGTTATGTCTCCAATGTTATCTCATTGTGAATCCTTCTTAGTTTTTCTGGGCAGGCACTTCCTCCTCTGTAGGATTCCTGCACCATTGTGTGCTCACTGTTTTACAGCAGATACCATAGAACACTATTCCCCTGTCTGTCTTATGACAATCTGCTCTGCTAAACCTTGGGGGACTGGAATCTATTTATCATTGCTCTGGGTTCTTTTTCATAGCACAACAGCCGACACATAGTTGGTGTTAAGAAAGTGTAATAATGAAACAATGAGATTAGAAGCCATTTGGGAAAATAAATAGGCTTAAAGAGTCTTATGACTCCAAGGAAACTAGCTTCAATATGCTTCAAATGCATTGTTTTGTTAACCATGTGAAGAAATATTTCTTTTCACATAGTTAACAAACATAAGTTGCTATTGTGTTCCTCCAAATACACTAAAATGTTCTTTTCAATCCAATTCACCTAGATTTTAGATAAAAAGAGTAAACAGTGTAAACTTATAGACTGACTTAATCACCAAAGGCAGTGGTTTTGCAGGGACAAGAATATTCTGTTCATAAAAATGCCATATAACATTCCTCAAATCCAAGGATCACTCCTAAGTTCTAGATTAAGTGTGACATTCTACTAATGCTCAAAAAATGAATGTCAAGAATTTCTTTCTGCATAAAATGAAATGTAACTCTTCAATTTTTATATGATAAAGAGCATTTGAACTCTTATGATTTTTTTTATATAGTCATCATCTCTCTTCTATATATGAAAGTCATATTAACTGAATATATTAAGTAGTAGAGGTTACCGTCAGACTTAGGTTAACAGGGTTATCAGTGAGACCTGCTAGGCTGAAGGATTGGTAATATTCACATGAGGCTGGTTAAAGCTCAGATTTCTGAGTCCAGTTTCTGATTTAGTAGGGTCTGGGCTGGGGCCCAGGGATTTTCATTTCTAAAAAATTGCAGATGATGCTGATAGCTGCTCAGTGACCACAGAGAATCAGTTAGCTAGACTTATCTCTGCATGAAATTGGTCTGAGACTATAGGCAGAAAGGCAGTCAGGGAAACAAGGCACATTCAATATAATGGGAGTTTTGGGTGTGATCATAGAGGAAGGATGTGCAGTTATTCTTGGTGGTGAATAGACAAGGCAAATTCATATTAAGGTTCGAGGTAGGTATGTGTTTGCTGCATCAAGTGGTGAGTTGGGATTGAGGAAGCAAGGTGGAACATTCCAGGCTGAGAGAACAAGAGGTATGAGAAAATAGTTGCAAATCAGAGGAAAAAAATCCAGAAGCATAACAATAAATGAGGATATGAACTAATTATAGAAAATTCAGTCACTGCCCTCTGTGTGTGTCATTAACTTGTTGATTCAAAGCAGCCTTAAAAGTGGGTTGGTCATAGGTGTTATTTCTTTTATCTTGTTTGACTCTGCTAAACAAATTTTGTTTTAGGTCCTGTGAAGCCTAGTGTAAATAAAGTAATTTTTCAGAGCTTTAGTTTTTTTTAAATGTAATTTTGACATAATTCCACTAACTTTGAACCATTATTTTAAGTATGAAATTCAAGAAGATGGCCAATGTTACTTCACTTCCTTGTCTTTTCTTATGCTTGCCACACAGGGTAGTTCCAAATAAATTTTATTTGAGCTTTTGATACAGGAAAGTCCCCAACTTGTATATGAGAGTTGGTGTCAGGTCTTTTCACTTGACTTTTAGCAAACAGATTTCCATTTACAAAGGGAAGAGTCACTTATCTGCATCATCCAATTGCCTAAAAATAATATGTCTAGGAAGAATTAATGTCTCGATTCATTCTTCTGTTTTAAAAAAGTGCTAAAATACTGTATATATGTGGATATCGCACTTACTATAAATAGCCCATATCTACATATGTATATGTATATGTATATGTATATGTATATAAATATGAACAGTCCAAAATTACTACATACCCATTCATTTTTACACTATAAATATCCCATTTAAAAATAAGAACTTTATATTAATAAATTTACTATTTTCTTACCCTCATTCCTTCAAACCTAGATAAGGCTCTTAGAGGTCTTAAAGCTCTCAGCGTCCGAAGAGATTTAATGGGGCCAAGGTCTGAGTAGCCAAGAGTGTTTGCAACTAAAGTGACCAAAGAAACCTATAAAAAAATAACATTTTTTCATTAATTATTTCAATGAAATTGATAAAGAATCAAGAAGAAAAGTTAATTTCAATGCTCAGAGAAGCTCAACAAGAACAGTATAATTTTCTACAGAGTTATCTCATTGTTCAAAATTAGATTTCAAGGAAAGTTAACCAATAATAATAATTATAATGGAATGAAAGATGTTTACTATATCTAAACAGAAATAATAATTTTCATACTTTGTTAATTGATGGTTATGCACTTGATTATTAAAAGTGAAAATTTTATTAGAACAACTATAAAAGTTTCAATTTAAATAACATCTACTGCCTAACAAAGTTTGTTTATTCTGTAACTGACACAAAAGTGTCACATTAAACTAAATCTAAGCCTGAATATAAAACTTACTCAAAAACAATCTGATGACTCATTATTTTGAGAAGAGGCAAATTTCCTGACAGAATATTTCTATCCTTCAGTTTCTCAGGATTGGCACTAAAGACCTACCTTGTAATAATTTATGGAAGAAATTCTCAATTAAATTGAACAGAGAATGAGAGTAGGTGGTCTCATTGGCTTCACCATAAACTTAAATATGTAAAAAATTTATTGTGTTAGGTAGACCAATCACAACGACCATCCGTGCCAGTATCTAACAGGAATCTAAGCTCTAACCATAAATTATTTCAGAAGAAAGAACATGATCAGAAATCAAAATATATTTTAGTAACAACAACAAAAAAAAAGATTTCCTCAATGGCCTTGGATTTGGATCTGTAAATGTTTTTAGTCTCTGGATAAATTCCACTTAAATATTCATTTATTTTACACTGGGTAGCCACAGATAATGCTGAAGAACAATGTCTTAAATATTTTCACTATGAGGTAACGACTAGATTTGGGTTTGTCAAGGAAGAAGAGGAACACTTCAAAGACAATTTCCTTATATTTAATTATTTAAGGAGTTGAAAAAAAAAATTCATTGCTCCCAAGTCACTGTTGCTGTTACTCAAAGACAAGTCAGCTGATTTACAAAACAGAAGATTTGAAAGTGCTGGACCTTATGTAGTTACTTCAGAATATTGAACTAAATGTGATATTGCATTTTCTTTTAAATTTCTTATAACTGATAGAACTAATTACTTCCATTCCAATTAAATTGCTTCTCTTATCACTGTTAAATTCAGTCATTTGAGGTCATTATTTTCCATTTACAGTACACTTAAAAACTAAATATACTCCCATTTTAATCAGAAAAAAACCCAAAAGTTTTAAAACACGGATTACAATTTGAATAGCCTCTGGAAGTAGTAGACCAGTACTTTAAACCACTGTTAAACCAGTTTTATGATATTGAATATATGAACATTGTTGAAAAAACTAGTGTACTCTGTGTCTGAGAATATTTATATGCTTTTCTATATATGCATCTATCCAGCTAGCAAATTATGCAAACCTTTGTACATACACAAATATGTGCTCATGTTAATTTATAATACTCAATCAAGTAGATTTCAAACAATCAAAAACTTGTAGAAACCAGGAGAGTCCATCCTCTGAATAGCAAATCAAATCAGTGATTGCGAAACCTGTATGCATTAGATTAATCTGTAAACCTTGTTACAACAGTTTGCTGATTCCCAGTCCCACAGATTGTGATTCAGTAGATTTTGGAGGGGTTCTGAGAATTTACCCCCTAATGAGTTCCTACATACATGTGCCTATGTTTTTGGTTCAGACATCATACTCTGAGAATGACTGTTGACAATAAGCTTCTCAATTTTTGAGAAATAAAAATATTCAGGCTGGGTTCAGGGGTGTGTGCCTATAGCCCAGCTACTTGGGAGCAAAAGGCAAGAAAATCACAAGTTTGAGATCAGTCAGAGCAACCTAAGCAACATATTAAGACCCTGTCTTAAAAAAAAATCAATAATTTCCGAAATCTATATTCCTAGATTTCTATCTCTATCATCAGCCAGAATACTCTGTGGAACTTAGTCTCAAGGTTGTGTATTATTAAATATTGTATACATATATATTTTTGTTTTCAAAAAATAGCATTTCAAATTGAAGTCATATGCTTTCCTGAGTTCTATACATTATGTATTCCTAAATATTTTATTACAGACATTGAGATTCTAAGTTCAGATTTTCAAGTATAAAACAAAATAATTTGTTATAAATAGTATTTCTTAATTAAAAATGAATTAATCTGTATTTGTAAATGTTTTTATCATAAATTGAGTGAAAAATGTGTATACTTGTGATAATATTTTCAAAGTTTTAAGGTGTCTTAAATATTTTTATAACTTAAAAAACCCAATTGTATTAAAAGTTTAAGAGAAAGAATAACCTATATTCCTTTTCTTGTTTTTTTTTTTTTTTTTTTTTTTTTCTTATTTTGGTTAGTTTTCCTTTAAAACTATTCTATTACAAAAAGGATTCATCTTATGACTTTTCTTTCTCTGGGTGGTAACTAAATAATTTTATTTATTAAAGGTGAATAAAAACAGTATAAAGTCATTAATGTAAAGTAACAAAATTCTCTATGAGAATTCTACATTTGGTATAATGAAAATGCTGTACACTGAAAAAATTGTGCATAATTTATATTAAAAAGTGATATTGTGTTTCATATTTTATGCTATTGAAAAAAAAAAAAAAGAGTGGCTGAGTATGGTGGTGTATACCTGTAATCCCAGAGACTCAGGGGGCTGAGGCCGGAGGATTGCAAATTCAAGGCCACCCTCAGCAACTTAGTGGACTCTAAGTGACTTAGTAAGACCCTGTTTCAAACTGAAAAAATAAAAATGATCAGAGACTCAGCTAAGTGGTAAAAGGCCGTGGATTCAACCCCAGTATTAAAAAAAAAAGTACTGAGATTCACATAATAGTTGATAAACTGAACTCTTGAGTAAATATGACTAGTTTTGGTTTGATTTTGTGGGAAGAATTTGCTGTTTATAGTTATATTTATAATTATCTATGAATGGTACTATATTAATTTATCATTTTTGAAAACAGTGATGGTGTACACTCTTGAATGTTAAAGCATTTATTAGTAGTATAAAAAATTTCAAGTGGCACTCTAATTTTTCCAGGAATCATATAGAAAATAACTCTCTAAAAACTGCAACTGAGTATTGAATATTTCTTTCCTAACCACAAAGACTAGACTTCTGAAAATCTATGTAAAAGATTGAAGATCATATACTGAAAATAATAAAGGAGGGTGAACAAGGTCATACCTTTTCCAATAATATAAAATATATCAATATATATTAAATGAGATCATTAAAGTATAAAATAAATTACACCAAATACAAATGAATGATTAACAATGGGTGGTATGTCATTAGTATCTATTTTAGATTCCTTCATCACATAAACTACTTTAAATTTCTTTCCCAATTATCTCAAAGAGAAGCCTGTAAAAACAGTTTCATATTTTTAAAAATAATACATATAGTATGCTTATGTATTTTGTATCACCCAAGTACTCAGCAGTGTTTTGAATTTATCATTTGAAATTATTAATGGCTACTCTGCTTTACTGCCATTCTGGAGGTAAAGGGCAGTTGTTTGTCTGAGACAGGAACAAAAATTGCAACTCCTTTCAGTTTTCTCTGTCCTTATAACAAAGCATTTTGAAATTCCTTTCTTTTCCTTCCCCCAATATAAAGCCAGTGGGCCATAGCAGCCATTTTTTTTAACATAAATTTCAGCTCTCTTATCAGACAACTTGATACATTCTTCATCCTTTTGTGTCTTTTAATTCTATATTGTGACATATTAGTCTTTCTTGTCTTTAATTTGTGATAAATCTGTGATATTTACCATCCTCTAGTTTTTCATTTTGTTCTTAATCTTAACAGGAATGATTTTCAAATCATATATTTTAAAAATTACATTTCCTCTGATTACAGAAAACACATACAAAAGTCCACTATAAATGCTAGAATGGTACAGAAGAGAATCTCCCTTCATTGGAGAGTTTTCCTCATGAATATATTTCTTCTAGTTGTACTAACATTTCTAAAAACATATACCTATGGCCTGAAAATACATGAAGCTAACAAAATATGATAATAGGTAATATCCATAAAGATTTTTTCAGAACACATTTTAAGAATAAATTTAATATTGTCTTTTAAAATTGACTCCAAGGGACCTACATCAACAATTAAGAAATCCAGCCAACACCAGGCATTGGTGAAATATGTCTTATAACCATATGCCACCCATTTTAGAAGCATTTCCAGAATGAAGATGTAGGTGAATATCTTGTCAGCATACTCCAGAATAATCTTAATGGTCTTTTTCTTTTCAATATATATATCTTCAAAAGCCTGTGGAAATAATATTTGAATTTCAATTCATGCATAATTTAAAACTTAGAGAAACAGGAAATGCAATTCTGATGGGGACCACTGAAATGTAATACTGCTGTGAGCCATCTGTCCCTGCTCTAGTTTATGGATACCCAATGGCACTTTGTTCTGGTCTTCTTACCAGTTGTTTCAAGCAGCAAAGAGAACAGTGCAAAATAATGAAATTACTAATAATTTATTTCAAAGAAAAAGCATGATATCTGACCCCTGTAGGGATTTCTCCCTTCATCTAACACTTCTCCTCATTCAAATTGAATGAATCCTGATAATTTAAGGACACATCTCAGGTGAGCCTGTCTTATAAATCTTTTACATCTTACTCTCCACTTTACACCCTGATGTAGGATTTGAAAACTCTATTTTGGCTCTGACAAGCTTGTGCATTCCAGTGCCTACCACTATGTCGAGAAAATAGCAGGTGAGAGGGAAAATTGGCCAAATTCATGATTGCAATAGCTTACTAGGGCTAAAGAACACAGTCAGTTTACAGAACATGATTTTTTTCCCTCTGACTCCTGCATCCATACTTCATCATCTCTCATAAGCTTTGACTCTACAAATCACCATTCAATTCATTGCACGAATGTGACAGACAATGACCTGTAGCCATAAGTCTTTTGGGAAAAAATTTGAATGGACTTAAAGAATTGAGCTCACTGAGACATTGAAAATGATTGCTGATCTAAATAAGTTCCAAATTTTTAGGATTTTACCTTCAGGGTAAAACACTGTTCATCTTGTTGGAAGAAAGAAAGCCATAGGACCCATATCCTTATTGGTTAATACTGTATTACCTGTCCATGGTTATGGGCATGTGTCATTCTCATTCTTTTGTTTCCAAGTTCTCCTCTCAATACTTAAAAAACTATGTATAGTACTTTTTGGAAACTTTTAATATCAGTACTGAAGGAAATGAAGAAGTTGGGTGGAGAGAACTGACAGATAACTAAGATGCACAAAGAAGGTGCCAACAATAGGCCAAGGTTGAGAGTCAGTGGAATGAGAGTGTAGCAGAAGGCTTCTAGCTCCTAGGACCTACCTGCTCCCTTTTCCCAAGTTCTGGAGAAATCAGGCAAGCCATTTGAGCAGAAATGATGGCAATGACTGCCCTTAAAGCATGAAGTCAAGTAGGATTGGGTCTCAAGGAAGAAGGTCCCTATTCCTGCAACTCAGGTTCAGGTTTACAGCAGGACCAGCAGTGACTCTCTGTGAGGAGAAGCAGATGCCCTGATGCAGTATTGCTTACTGACTGGTCCCAGAGCAGGATGCAGGGCTTCACTGAAGGGGTCTTGGCTTCCAGGACCCATTTTGTGGATGTGGGAGCAGGAGGCAAGGATGCCACGATGTGGGCTCTGCCACAGTAGGGTTTAGGTTTTACTGATATCATTTCAGTTATAACTCATTTGTTTCTTCTTGGTGTATTCTCATTTTGAATGAAAATAAGTTGAGTTTAAAGCTGAACGTCAATTAAATGATAGCTCTGTGGTTTACTAGCTTTATGACATTTAAGAAACATTTTAAATTTTGCATTCAGCTTCTTCTTCATTGGTAGAAGAAAAGCACCATGATTTTATAGGATCATTTGTCAACTAAATGAGAAAATTTATGTAAACATTTGAAATACAATAAATATATCCTAAGTGATAACTTAAATTCTTATGTTTTTATTTATTTTGTAGACAGGTATTTAAAAAATCTAGCCTAATTAGCAAACTGTCCTAGTGAAAACACTAACTTCTTGAAATACTTTTTTTCCATCATATAACTCATTTGGATTCCATTTTTGAGAATACCTTCCCCTAAAATGTCATCTCCTTTTTAAATATTTCAAAGAAGAAATTAAAATTTTGTGTTTTAAATCTCCTCTCTGTAAGTCTTGGTCATGTATATGACTCAGCATAGAATGAACTTCAGTTACTAGGAATATAAGATGTTACAGAAAATATTAAGATTCCTGCTTACACAATACCAGACAAGTAAGTGTTTTCCTTATTCTCTGCCTTTGAGAAGTGAGACTTGTTTGGAGAGGCAATTTACTGAGGACCCGTGAAGGTACCTGGGTGCTTTTGATGGGAATGCCAAGAATACAAGGCCCTGACTGCTCTCACCCAGGCCCTTTCTCAGGGTTGGGTTTGAGGCAAACAACCTTGAGGGAAGTGAGTAGGACAAAGAGCAGCATAAAATGGTATAAAAGGATCCTTTCCTTAAGCTCTGAGTTCTTCACCTATGATGTTTACCCTCTAGTGTACAGCGTTCACCCAGGCCCATACTGTGCTGCTACAGGATCTGGGACAGGACAACCAACACTAATGCATTCAAGCATATGCTACCTTGGTGCCACGAGTAAGGAAGACCTTTATCTCTAACCTGGCATCTCATCTCTGCCAGCATTTATGAAAGAACAGGTTAATGTATTAGCCTGTGAGTGTTGTAAAATCAAATTCCAGATCTATGAAGACTGTCTATGAGGCACTGTGTAAAGTCCTTAAGGATTCTGCTTTCAGTATAATGGAATTTTCAGGAGCATATCTAGCTGAATGTGGGCTGATGGGTTTCTAATGGCTCCTCTTTGTCAGGGTCATAGGAAAGAATTGCAATCTTAAAAAGTCTCAGAAAGATTATAGTTCTCCTAGATCCCTTTTACAAGGCATGTATATATGAACAAGGATAAGAAACATCTTCGATTCTTGCCCTAAAACATTCATTTACTTTCCTCTATAAAAACTGCTTCAGGAGCTGACAGTGCCTATATTTCCTCAGTTTCTCTGGTCACCTGTACTTGTTCTTCCTCCCATGACATTCTCTATACCTCAGCAACTTTTAATTTCTTGAATATCTTATGTTGTTTTATGCTTTCTTACCATTATATGCTTGCTCCCTTCAACCCACCTTGACAGGCTGAAAACGTTTATTCTTTCTAGACCTTGCAAAGCTTTGCTGTGTACCATTCTGAAATAACAAGTGACCAATTGTTTTTTTGTTGCTTTATGGATAATATTTACTTACAAATGCATCTCAGGTCTATGAGCACCATGTATCTCTCTTCCCCATTACTCTAGTAGCTCCTGGAGAATATTACCCAAATCAGATCTATCTTTACATTCAACATAGCAAGAATAGTATCTGACATGTTGGAAAACTCAGTAAATATTCATTGAGTTCAGCTGAAATTTTGTCCTTGGCAATCTGTAGGGACTTTTTTTTTTTTTGCCCTTAGGTAAAACAACCTGCCATGATATTTTTATCTACTAACTCATTTATTAAAAATACTGACAATCAATTTATTGACTAGGTATCAGATGTCTTACAAGAGCTCCACTGCTGAGGAGGATCATGAGAACAATGAAGCTTTCAAACCAACTGTGTTCAACTATCCGATAGCAGGTTTTCCTGATGTTCCACCAGATTTTTCCTTTCCCTGATTCTATGTTAACTTGGCAGCATGGAAATCTCCGTATACAACCTGGAAAGAAAGACATGCATGCAACATCTTGATATTCAAAACAAGTAAAAAGCTTACACTGTAATATTTCATGAAAAGATTTTTCTGTGATACTTCTTTCACCAAATCATTTCTAACACTTAGGCCTGCCATTTCAAATTCCATTTGGATGTTACCTCTCATCTTCTTATTTCCATGGTGTTTTCTGAATATTTGTTAGTTATTTTTTATATGTTATTGTTCTCTGTAATTCACTGATTTCTCTTAAATCTCCTCCACACTGTTTAAATCACTTTGATTTAATGAGTTGAATGGATGAAATAAACTCTGAGGGGACGATGTATTTCAGGGTCTTCTTGCTAACAGATTTTCCTAGGTGTAGATCTATTCTATAATTTGAGATGCTTCCTCTCTTCTATTAAAAACATTTTCAGAAAAACCATCCTAAACAATATTATAGAAATTAATGGTAAATCCTAAAATTAAGTTCAAAAGAAATACATCTTCATTGAAAGATGCAAATGAAACTATTTAAAGTATTCTACATTAAAAACAAATCTGACTTGGGACTTCTAGGTATAAAATACATTGCTATATATTGCTTTGTAAAAGTGAGGAAATTTTGCTTTAAAACGTTTAGGTTTAGCTCAGACAGAGTAGAAACATTTGAAATGAAATGTTCTTTTTTTTTTTTTTTTTTTTTTTTTGGTACTGGGGATTGAAACCAGGAGCACTTAACCACTGACCCACATCCCCAGCCCTTCTATTTTTTTTTTTTTTTAAATTTTTGAGACAGGGTCTTACTAAGTTGCTTAGGGACTCACTAAATTGCTAAGGCTGCACTCAAAATTGCCATCCTCTTGCCTCAGCCTCCAAGTTGCTGAGATTATAGGTGTGAACCACTATGCTGGGCTGAGATGGAATGGTCTTAATAGAAACTTAATGCTTGAGACTTCAGAATTTATGTTCAACCTGAAAATGAAGATTACATGCTGCGCACTCTACTTGCTTCAAGCAAGGATTATTGGAGAATAAAGTTTCCATTTGTTTAAAAACAGTTTATAGTGTGGAGTTTTTGTCAGATATAAAATTGAAGAAAAACAGTCTTACAAGGAAAGAAAAAAACACTATTATCCTAATTAGAGAAGTGGGTACATTTTTTATCTGAGATGAAGGTTCATAAATATTGCCCACAGGGTTTAGCACTCATCAGAGATTTTCCTTTTTATTTTGAGGCAAGAGTGCTCAATCTCCTGTCTGGCTTTTAGGCAAGAGATTTCTAACTTAGTTGGTTAGTAACATTATCACACACTTCTCTTGAAAGAACTATTAATTGAATGTAAACATAACAGAGAACCTCTCAAACATTTAATGAGTCCCAATGGGTAAATTCTATGTTTTTGGGGTGGTTTCATTAATTTGCTCTCATGATACATTACATAAAGTCTAATCTGGGTTTCATCATGTTAAACCCATACTCTCCAATAAGAAAGAACCTATTGGTTTCTTCAAAGACAGACTACTCATTGATAAGAATATAATAGCATAATCAGTATAATTTATGTAAGAAGTTACTAGGAAAAAACACTTTTCTCCATTGTTTCATTAAAATGTCTAAATCCTCTACAATAAATGTTTTATTCACATTTTCCTTTCAAAAGAAAGAAAATTGAAAAGGAGCTGGTTATTCTATTATTCAAGTCAGCATTGGTAATGAGTTATTTTTTAAGTTGATGAACTCAGAACATTTTGGTTAGATGAGCTGTTTCCACCTACCAAATTAACAGAAAATACAGTATTTTAAGGAAAGGAGGTTATTCTCTTTAACTCAAATTCTGACTATACAATTAATGAATTGTATAATCCAAAAGGAGTACAATATAAAATCAAGGAGAATCAAGGTGACATGTCAAATTCAAAATTTTATAGGCTGCCAAGACATGCAGAATGAAGGATAGTAAAGAACAACACAGGCCCTAGGGATGTAGTCTGAAGTCTAGAATCACAAAGCCATGGAACAGAGTTAAGGACAGACATGGCATGAGAGGAAAGAGGAAAGGGGAACTAAGGGACAAGACAAAGGACAAAATCAATAGAACACATTAGTAAGGTGATAGCTATGAAGCTGAGAAGGATCAATGAATGTGAGGCAGAGAATGACAAAATCATTTTAACAGTCATCGGCAGTGGAAGCACAGTCACTCATTTATCTATCTTTCTTACTTCCTTTCATTTTTCTCCTGCTTTTCTGGTAACAAAAATCTCTGGAGGCCAAATGCTGCTATGCACTGGCACTGGTTAGAGGACAGCTCTAGTGGTAGACCAGTCATGAATCATAAGAGTAATTTCCAATGTAAGTAAACAAGTTGACAATTTCCAATCCTGTAAACTCTAATGTTCTCAAAGTTTTCATGTGGAGACAGTATATTGTCTAAAAGTGGGCAATTTTTTTTTTTTTATCTGAGATGAAGGTTCATAAATATTGCCCACAGGGTTTAGCTTACTAACCCTGAGACCCCTAAATATGAATTCATCTTTGACTCCTTTCTTTCTTTTGCTTTCTATATCCAGTACATCAGCAAATCCAGTGCTAACTTCAAAATATACTTAGAATCTCACCCTGTCACCAATCCCACCATTCTTGACATAAACTAAGCTTCCATCATCTCTCACCTGGATGATTACTGCAGAGACCTCCCATCTTTTTCCATTGCTCTCTATCCATCCACTCTTAAGATGGCATATCATGACATTTTTCAACCAGATTCTTACAATATTCTTCAAAGTTCTTATGATCTGGCCTCTACTACATCTCTTATCTCAACTTTTACCACCCTTCACACTCTTAATCTGTTCTATTCCTACTGGCCTCTTGGTTTTCATCCAGTGTTATGCATATTTCTACCTTGGGGCAGTGCCTTTGTTATTCTGCCTACAATAAACTTCCTTCATATATTCTCATGGCCCAACTTTACTTTTCCTGAGGTCTCTGATAAAATGTCACCTTAATAAAAAGGCCTTCTCAAGTCATTATGTTGAATGCTAGTAAGGTCCAATCCCTTACCTTTAGTATCTATCCTTTCCTTTTATCATCTTTATATTTTCACATTATTTGAGCAAGGGAACTGGACACAACATATAGAAGGTGTCTAATAATTGTTTATTGGAAGAAGGAATGAGTAAATGAATAAGAGGTTGAAAATTTGAGCAAATTGGCTGCTATTCTAAATTTATCAGGCTGAGTCTCTTAACCAAAGAGGTCTGGTGACTGTATAAAGCCTCCCCAGTGGAGCGTTATCAAAACCATGTGACTAAGAGTTGGGTTCCCGAAATCAGTTCTCAATGACCCAGGCCAAGGTTCATTTGAAAATGTGTCATCATGACATTTCTTCTACACCAGCCCCAGCCTCAATTTAAAACTATAAATGATCTCAACGTAACTAAATATATGTATATTTAGTTATGTTGAATATATTCATTATTGTTTCTCAGGATTGAAAAACAACCTTTGTAAAGTTCTTAAGAAAGAGTATAGTGTTAACACTTTCTGTAGAGGTTAAAAATTTTCTAGAGCCCTTTTCTGGTTTGAAGGCTTTGTTTGTTTTATAAACCCAACCTCTTTATAAAGAAAAATCTTCACAATGGTCATCATAAAATGGATAAGGGAAATCTTGGTACATCTACACAGATTTAACTATACAAGGTTGTTGCTAATTATTGAGAAACAACCAGACATGTGGATAAAATTCACAAGTGCTCTTAACATGACAATTACAAGGGAAATTTTGTGGGTTCTGCTTACAGCAATGATTTCAGCAAACACAAAACTTGTAACAACTGGGTACGATGCTCCTTTGCTTCTCACATAAAATGATATTTGGCATGTATTTAAATAAAATCCATGTACTTATTGCAGTTTGTAGATATTTTTATTTTTCAGTCACTTTGCTTAATGCATCAGTGTTTTAGGAGACCTCTTAAGAAAGTCTCAGAGACTGAAAGCAAATCAATGAGTTCTGCAAAAATAGTGATGTTGAAAGTAAGCCCATGAGTAAATAGCAAGTCATTAGCATCAATGCTAGTACAACTTCTACAAGGGACTGTTAAAATACTTGAAAACCAATAAGGAGAGCAGAGTGAAAATGAAGATAGGCATTATGCCAATTAATTAATAAGAATTATTTCATTTGATCTGTCTCATTCTCCATGATACAAATGCTGTTGTTATATCCATTTTACAGATGAGGTACAAGATTTAAAAAATGGGCTCATGGCCTCAGAGATGGTTACTAGTAGGCCAATTGAAAATCATGTTTACTAGGCTCAGATCTTCTGGAAGCCTACTCTAGGTTTGTGTTTTTTTTATTTAGATGATATAATGCTTGTTCAGATAATATGGAACACTTTCCTAGATTGAGGTCAAAATTACCTCTTTGAATAAAACTCCTGGCAAATTTCAAGGGCAGTGAGAAATTGAGTATGGCAGAGAATAAAAAGGAGGGAATAATATTAGAAAAGAAAATACTGAGGCCAAATATAAAAGGCTTCACATGTCAGATTATAGACTTCAGATTTTATCCTATAAAACAAGGGTTCCCAAATTTTACCATGAATCAGAATCCTCTGGAGAATGTGGGCCTTATCCCCAGTGTGTCTAATGAGCTTGTGATTAGAAAGAAGAGGATGAGGCTTTCTCAGCTTTTAGCCTTAGAGGCAGGGTAGATCATGATGTTACCAAATAAGGTAAAGAATAGAAGATGCTATAGATTATGTGGAGGAGACCACACTAAATTTGTTTTATATTTATTAACCTTTAAATGTTTTAAGGCAATAGGAGAAGATGACCAACCAACTGTTGTAATCAGATCTAGAACTCAAGAGGGGGTCTGGGGTAAGAGTCAACAGCACAGAAATGGTTATTCAAGCCATCTCGTAGACTTTAGGAATAAGAAGACACCAAGGGCAAAAAGTGTGGGGATACAGTATTAATTTTAAGAGGTGCAGAAAAATAGTCAATAAAAGAAATAGAAGGACTCAGAACTTTTATAAAAAAATTATGTTGGACTGTGACCTCTGAAACCAAGTGGAGGAAGAGTTCTGAGTTGGGCTGTGATAACATTATAAGAATGCTCACTGAAGTGTCAGTGAATTTCAGTTTTGATGAAAAGGACAACAGTACCACCTGTCCCATTAACTTGAATTCTAGTGGTTCCACGATGCTTGAATGTGAATTAAGGATCCAGAATGAGAAGGATGAGGTTCCCACAGCAACAGAGAGCTTTACAGTGAATGCACTGTCACTGCAAAGCATTGCTAGTAGAGTAACATAAATGGAGAAACTGAGGCTTAGAGAGGTCCAGTGACTCACCTTTAAACAGAGTCACCAGGGAATCAACATGGAATGGAGCCTCATGACTTTTTGTAAACATGATCCTCCCAATCAGTACCAAGTATTAAGACAAAACCCAAAACACCAATAAATGTTGGTGTTTTAATTTTTTTTCTTACCATCTGTAAAACAGGCTTCTGGCTCATCTGAATTCACAGGTTCAGCCTCGGCTTCCTCTCCTTCTCCTGGCAGAGGGTTATCAACTGTGCTGCACTCAGAGGAACTCAATCGGCTTAATCTCTGAAAAGGAATTTACCACCCCCCAGAGAGATAATTTAGGGTTCATTCAAGTCCTACATATAAGCCTCACTTAATAATCAGTCATGCAAAGCGTTATGAAGAAAGTTTCACAGTAAGATGGCCATACAAAATGTATAAACACACATTGAAGTCAAGGAACCTCACAATGCATCTGTACTTGATCTTTCTATCTACACATCCTGGGAAAAATACATTGTATTTTTATGAAGCTAACAAATATTTGGACAAAATTCTCATAGGCAATATTTTTATGTTAACTATATGGTAAGGAACTGGCCACATCTTATTATTATTTTATGTTTAATATAAATATATAAAACAGTAATTATTTTAATACAATGAAGACCCTAATAGAAATAAAATATAAGTATCAAATTGCCAATTCTGTATAGTTGGAAGGTCATATCCAACAGTTGGAACAAAAAGTTTGCAAACATTAAGATAAAATAATAGCATAAAATAAAAGCTAAACATTCTCTATTTCTTGAATTAAAAAATATGTAGCAGGATGATATAGATAGAAGGTCTCTAAAGGAGACCTGCCAAATCAAATAATGCATACGAATCAAAATGTGAAGGACCATACCAACACTATCCATTTTATTTTAAAATTTTAGGATACAGTAGGACAGATCATAATGTATTATTTATAATGCCCAAAGAGTGGATACTAAAGGGAACACCCCATGCAAACTCTGAAGCAAAGATTCAGTGAAATCAAACATGGCAGACTGATACACAGAACAATGAATTCAGTGTCATTATTATGATCATCTAGCTGATCATAACAATCAACTCCCCCCATTTCTATGAAAACATGATGTCTATACACACATACATGGAAGTTTTTATAGCAAATACATACAGAAATTGTAGGAAAACTCTGTCAAATTTCCTTAATCTTGTTTTACAAAGAAATAGAGCAACATATTAATGAAAGTGTTCATTTTTCATTTTCATTTGTTAAATGACATGTGATTATGTAAAGCTATTAGTTATTACAACACATGCTTTTCTCATTAAGATTACAGCTGTAATTTTGGAGCATAGGTTAAGCAAATGCAAGTACTAAGGCAAGGAATTGTTCACTTCAGTTAAATTGATGCTTCAATCTATTAATTTGTATTAATATCAGAGGCTCATTCTAAATTATTAATTTTTCGAGAATGATATAGAATCTAGAAATATTTTTATGAATATCACATTAAATTCTTAGTGTTATTATCATACAATCTCAGTGAAAATGGTGTTGATGGGGAAGGATAGATAAGATGAGAGGTATTAGGATGGGAAATTGATCAAATTGTGTTCTATGAAGGTGAAAATGTACTATAATAAAACCCACTACTCTGTATAATTAGTGTGAACCAATAAAAAAATTTAAGTGACACAAATAATGTACATAAAGAATAACTTAAGAATAAGTCCTTTTTATACATGTTTAGCCTCAATTGGCACAGATTTATTATTTCTACTAGGTTGAGGAGTTTGTTCATAGTATCAGTTATGAATAACATTGATATAAAAATTCATTTAAAATGAACTTTTAAAACTAAATTCATTTAAAGTTACTTTAAAATAAGAAAGGGAAAAAGAAATTAATTATAACTGAATATTCTATAAAACTTAGTGCTATAAAATATACATTAAGTCAGGAAAGAACATTGGAAAATCTTAGATATACTAATATTATTATTGTGCCAATTATCACAAAAGCTGTCTTTTTTTGCCATATCAAAAAGACTGTAATTATTTGATATAATAAATTCTTGACTTCTCACCTGTAAGTGAACTGTCACTCAGGAACTGGAAGAGAAGACTCTATGTTTCTATGGTGCTGAGATGAAGTCCTATAACCCTGAAAATAACTACTGGCCTAGATTTTGAGGCAAAACAGTAGGAAGAATTGCTAATAGAAGAATATCAAGGACCTCTCTGGTACTAGCCAAAATATTAACAATAGAAATAGTGGTTTTCTCTCAACTGCCAACAACTTTTAAATAAAATTTTATCTGCAGAATTCTGACAGTCTAGATTAATGAAAGCATATTCAATATCAGTATTTGGTTTCTCACTGTTTAAAAGGGCATTGGCAAAGAAGATTTAGGCTGAGTTAGATAACGAGAAAGTGATAATTCAGGAAAATTTATGTAGTATATCTTGCCACTGAAACCTTCCTTTTCATATACAGGTTTTATGGTAAATTTTGTCAATTAAATTCAGGATATTACTCAGATTTTACATCAAAATTAAAACATTCCAGTAATATTCACTGGAACCAAATTAACAGAGTAGTCAGCATAAATTATAATTAACATAGATCACAAATCAAATTACTGTGGTCAATAGATTTTTAGATATTTAATGCTTTCCTGCAAATGCATTAGGTATTCACATAGTAGCTATTTCGGTACTTTATATAAAATTAAATATATATAATTCACATACCTTAGCAATGGAGACTGTTGAGGTCTAATCTATTCACCCTTTGAAATTTACACTTTTTAAGGTACAAGTTTCTTTAATGGGGTCCTAAAAGTATGTCTTTAAATAGAAGGCTAATATCCTTAAAATTTGTTTCATTTATTTTTACTACACAGAAAAGATCATGCCAACTGTATGTCTTTCTATACTAATTTTATAATTGCCTTCATTTTTATAAATTTGATCTTTTTATTTAGTTTTCTTTGTAGTTTTGGAAAAGAAAGAATATGCTATGTTAAGAGAAGTGAAATAAATATTTTAGTATGATGAAATGTCATTTTGATATCACAATTGACCTTTCTGTAATTTTCAAAGAGGTTTGATTTTAACATAAAATTTCCTTTTTCCATTTTACTTAGTTTTTAACAAAGTTTTTTTTTTTTTTTTTTTTTTATCTTTGGCAGTTTTCATACAAATAAAACTAAAACTAAGCATAGACCCAAGAAGGTGAACTCACTGTTGTAAGGAATAGAAAGAATTCCACAGTTACATTCTTTCCTTTTATTGAATAAAGTGATTTGAGTATACCTTCTAAAATTCTTTTCTTTTTATAAAAACAACACATTTGATTCAAAAATTTTAATCTTTCAATATTCTTCAATGTGTATCCATTAAACGTGGTAGTTCTGAAGAAATGCTTACCTTAATGGTGAACTTATGCAGCTATCTAAGAAGCCCCTTTCTTTTATTGAAAATATTATTAAATTAAAACCTTTATTATTCTTTTTGATTGGCTTGAAGGTGTGTTTTCTTTCTACAAGATTATGTGTGAGTGGAGACATTATTAAATATGTGTCTTAGTAGAAAATGCCCTACATCAGTCACTTACTAATTTATTACTGATATTTACTGAGATAAGCATTAATATTACAAGGCTATTTCATGTTGTTATGAGTGGTAGTTAATTCTAGTCAATAATTTCTAGTTCCAAGAGGAGTGAAGAAATATTATCTAATGACCTAATGATCTGCCACTCAAAAGCAAAAACCATCAAACACAGCAGCACTGTAGAGAACACAGAAATGAGAAAAATCTTTCTCAAAAAGGAGGACTGACATTGAAAATATCTCAGAGATGTTACATTTAAAGTACATACCATAAGGCTGCTTGCTTCAAAACAGAAAATAAATATTCTTTAAGGAGCAGAGCCTAGAATATTTATTTCACTTGAGCATCAACACAAAGATACAAAATAGACAGCAAGAAGTTGAAAGAAGCATACTGAAATAAAGGTATTGGCACAAAAAAAGAAAAATTATGGGAGACATTAGTAATAAGTTAAGCTCCATTATGTATCAATAAGCAGGAAAAACAATTTGATTAGGTTCAAGTTCATTATCACTCATTTTTAAATTCAACAACCCAATATTGCAGTCCATATCTGTAATGATATTCCTGAATCATTAAGGAGGAAAATAAGGTTCAGAATAAAAGATCACAAGGACTGGGGTTGTGGCTCAGTGGTAGAGCATTTGCCTCCCATATATGAGGCCCTGGGTTCAATCCTCAGCACCACATAAAAATAAGTAAACAAAACGTAAAAGTTACAAAAGAGGAAAAAAAGAACAATTCCCGAATAAAAGATCACAGTAGTCTTTCTCTCCTTAGAAGTATCATGGTTTTTTAAAAGCTATTGGAGAAACACAGCTTTATTTTTACATAGCCTTTTTCAATTAGAGATCACCTATGATTATCACTTGTGTTTTCCATCTTGAATGTAATAAAATTTAGTTTCTTTAGATTTCTGGACCCTCAATCTGTTTCTGATATGTCTGAAATTGCCTGTGTTAAAAAAAGTACTCTAGATATTCTTGATCGATGGAAATATAATATTACTTTCCTCTCTGTTATCAGGATTCTCATATTCACTGACTTAACAGATAATGTTTGGCTTATTTACAAGTTGCAGCAAAATATTGGCTCACATTATAATTACGAGTAGCTAAAATTCTGCTTTTTCAAATCAAGGGCAAGAAAACAGATTTTTTTTTTCTTTCCCTAGTGTTCTTTTGTTGTTGTTGTTGTTTGTTTTTGTTTTTGTTTGCCAGCAGAGGAATCTTGTATAGACTCATGGGAAACAGCTGCTCATTCCTCAGTAAATGCACTTCACAGTTCCCTCACAGGGTCAATGTGGAGATGGAGGAATAACAAGGTCACATAGTAGTCACCACCAGGGACATTAAATATAAAACCAATGGTTTTATTGAAAGGTCTTATTTTTCCCAGAGCCTTCCACCTAGGACACTTTCAATCCATTAATATGACAACGGATAGAATTAAACATAAGACATTGAATATAAAGCAAACAGAAAAAAACAGTAACATTTGGCCACACAAGAAGGCTGGACTCTCAGTTTCTCAGCTTCTAAGGAAAAGGGACAGGGCATTCACCAATAAAGTCTTGGAATATAAAGCACCAGTCTGTAGTCAAGGGCTCTGTGCCCAGTCACTAAAATGCTCGGCTGGTTGTTTTCAGAAAACAAGTATTGAATTAA